AATTAAATCATAGCTGTGTACATTAATACAATCATGGGTTGTATCCTGATTTAAAAAAATTTTTAGATTCTATTATGGGAAATTTCCGGTGCTGCCAAACTTTATCTGAAAACCTAATTTTTAATGGTTTTATGATATTTTGTCACATTGGCTGAATGGGCTTGCTTACAGCTTTCCCTATAGTTGGACACTTAGGTTACCATACTTTTATTATCCCAAATTATGCTGTGACAAATATTTTGATACATGAATCTTGATCTTCATTTTTTGATATTACATTGTGACAGGTAGCTAGAAGAGAAATTAGTGCATGAAAGAATAAGAACATTTCAAAGTCAAGATGCCTATTCATAAATTGCTTATAGAAAACATTCACAAACCAGGGGAAGTGGTATAATCAGATACATAATTTTTTTTTTTTTTACAGCTAACTCAGGTGGCAGAATCTATAGAGAAGGTAATTAGAACTTGAAATGAACTGTGGGAATTGGGAGGTTGTGGATGTAAAGAGGTGTAGGCGCTATTTCTAAAATACAGTCAAAAGGACTTGGTAACTAGATAGATACGGGAGGTGAAAAACATGGAGCCAAAGACAACTGTGCATCTTTCCAATCTGCCTAACTGGTGTAATACTGATGTTGTTGCACAAAAGGAGAAGGTGGCAAGATGCGCAGATGTGTAGGAGAAGATAAATTTGATTTGGGGCTTTTTTATTTGAATTATATACTATACTAGTTTTTAAAGACTTTAGGTGGACTCTAACAGGCATTTGGAACTATGGTTAATGATAGGGAACATCTGTTGTTTTTGCCTGCCTGGCATCTGGTGCTAGCGTCAGGATTTTATTTTTCAGAGGAGGATCTTTGGGTGGCAATCTGGTTAGAAGGGGTCTTGTCTTAAAGCTGCATTTACTTACTAGACATTTCTTATTTAGATTGTGGGTGTGTTTGGTTTGGTAAATGGAGATTGGGGGATGCTATAACTTCCAAGTTAGCCCTGGGCAGCTCTCCAATCCTTCTCTTCTAGTACCACTTGAATCCCTAGGAGAGTCACTATCCACTTCACTTCCACTTTTTCTTCCTGTGCTTTTAGGGTATCTGGCACTACTGTCTGGACCCAAGGGTGGTATGTGAGTCAGTCAATCAGAGCCGATGTAGCTGAAACCTAGTAGTTTCCAGGGGAACCCCTGAGAAAAGCTCCTTCGACAGGGATTACTGAGAAGATGGGGGGTAGAACTGGAGTGGTCAGCAGCTATTTTGTTTGGCAATGGAATCTACCCAGACTAGAACTGAGTTAATTCTGATGACCTGGTTCTGATGACATCACTTGAGCCCTAGAGGCCAAGCACACTGATGGCAGTTTTAGAACTTTTGAGTTTTATGAGACACTAAAATTCCCTTATAATCTTAAGACATTTGTGGGGATTTCTGTCACAGCCAAAGAAGTCCTGACTAATACAGTACTGGATATCAGAAGATTTAAGTTTCAAAGGTTTCAAGTATTCAAGATAAAGCCAGGATGAATACTATTGTGACTGCGCAATCTTCTCTTTTCTATTTAATGGATGATAAATAAGTATGGTGCGTGTAGTGCCAGGCGTTGTGCTAAGTACCTAAAGCAGGCAGATTAAGGGTATAGTTATAGAGATATTTTAATGGTTTGCTTACTAAGATTCATTATTATTCATAAACTAGCTGAATTAACTAGCTAGAATTAATAGTGTAAATTTTGGCTTTTATGTTTTATATGCTTTTCCTTATATTTCCTTTATAAACCTAATAGTACCTAGCATGCTCCCAGCACATGATCTATAGCCAACAAATAACTTATTATTTGCTTCAATTTTTAGAAATACTTCTAATGTATCCATACTAGGTACTCAGATTTCAGGAAGTAGATTACCAGAGGGGGATTGTAGCTTATATTTTAAAAGGCCTAACAAATGTCCACTTGTTAATGTGTAGAATTTGGGGGGGGTCTTTTCCTCAGAACCTTATTCAAAGGATTCAGATGATGGAATTCCATCTAGCAATTAAAGCTTGATTAAGTTTTCTGAGGTGATATTAATAATAACAGAGTACATAAAGTTGTAAGGATCAAAACTGATGAGGTTTGTTTTTTCTTCCCTTATGAATGGTTTACATTCTAGCCACCTTTGTTCCTCTGGTCTGTCTTTTGGTCTTGAGTTGTCAGTTGAGGACAGTTTAATTAAGAATGTTTTTGTTTCACGTTCTACCCTTGGGTCATTAAAATCAAAACGGAAAATAAGATAATGGAAAATAAATTATTTGTATTTGTTATTTGAGTATTTAAATGTATGTCATGGGATCCATAATACATTGTGCAGAAAAATTCATAACATAGAACAAAAAAAAAAGATTTCTTATTCTTCTACAGCCTACGTATCCTAAAACTTACATGTTACTGGTAATTAATGTATCACAAATGTATAGCAACAAAATTTTCCATCTTTTCTAATTCATTGCTTAAATCTGAATGATTAACAGCTTTTTACTTTTTTTCACCAAGGGATTTCAAGGAACTCACTGGTGAATGAGACTCTATCCTTATTAACAAACAAAGCCCTACAGGTGACAAAGAGAAATTGTATGTGCCTTTGTTCAGGGACAAGAGCCTCAGAGCCACTTCTCAAGCCTAAATTCCCTTTTTCTTTGCTTCCCAAGACTAAATTTCCTTTGCTCTTTGAAAGAGAAATCCCTTTTCTCTTTCAGATTCTGTCCAGAACTGAACTTGTTCAGATTTTACCCTTCATGACATTTATGTAAATTCTTTCTTGCAGATTCTTCTCTGCATGGAGATTGTAAGATTGTAATTCATAACCCAAGTCAAAAAGTTATCCCATCTCAAATTGGTAATTTGGGGTTTTTTTTTTTTTTTTTTTTTTTGAGACAGAGTCTCACTCTTTTGCCCAGACTACAGTGCTTTGGCATCAGCCTCGCTCATAGCAACCTCAAAATCTTGGGCTCAAGCAATTTTCCTGCCTTAGCCTCCAAAGTAGCTGAACTACAAACCCCTCCATTAGGCCTGGCATGTTTTCCTATTTTTAGTAGAGATGGTGTCTTGTTCTTGCTCAGGCTCAAACTCAGCTCAGGGGATCCTCCAGCCTTGGTCTCCCTGAGTGTTAGGATTACAGGTGTGAGCCACCTGACTGACCCTCAAGTTGGTAATTCGTACATTTGAAGAAGTAGACACTGGGTAACATCCAGTCCAACATTATCTGTACCGCATGGAATCATCTTCTTTGGGAAAGGAAGAAGATGAAGTTTATTTTAGCTTTTGTCAGATTCCAAAGTCTTATTTCCTACAAAAACCAAATTTTTAAGACAATAAAGGTCAAATTAGTATTTCTTTTTGTAAGCCTGTAGCTAGCTATTACTCTTGCTAACCCCCTCCCCCCTTTCTAATCCTGAGGAAATGCCTTTTTAATTGTAGATTTCAAATTACATTTGCCGGTATTGATAATCCTTGCTCTTATTTTTGTGAGAAAGGGTACTTCAGGAACCACCTTGCAGGGGAAAATGACACCGTCGGAACTGATTGCTCCCAAGACTTGTTATAATAGTATTCTGCAGGCTCACAATACTTAAGCCATGTGATTTCACAGTCACCACAATGTAAGACATCTTCTGCAAGAACTCATTTAATTAAGAAACTACAGGTGATGTCCAAAACAGTAGTTGAAAAGAAAAAATCCAGCTACCGTTGCTATTTATTAAGAAATCAGCTCACCTGTCATTTTGATACCGGAATTTCTTTCTCAGTAGGTCCTTGGTTTTGGGGATTGGAAGAATGAACCCAGGGAGCATAGGTCAATGGTAAGATAGGATTTTTATTAGACAAAGGAATACAAAAGTAAAAAGCACTAGAGCTTCGGGAAGGGGGAAAGAACTAACTGGGGAGTCTCTACGTGGGCTCTGTATCTAGGGGTATTAGGTCTTGGGAATTACATTTGGACAAGACTTGGCAACTAGAAACACCGGTTTCCACCTTAATAAGTGTTATTGACAAAGGAATGAATGCAGTCCCTCCAGCTCAGGGCAAAAGGTCAGGGTGTTCCCTTCGTGAACTTGGCCAAGCCTAGGGAAACTGGGGTCCCCTGTCCAGCTTTGAACGGGGGGTGGGGGAGAACCCTGTATCAATTTTACGATCTAAATTCTAATTCAGCTTTAAGGTCATCTACACAAATAAGAAAATGTACCCTTAGGAAGTCGAGTTTTATTCCAACCCAATGCCTGGGCCAGCGAGCCCTCTGAGGCAGGAAGAAAAATACGCGCTCGGTGTTGGGGGGTGGAGAGAACGAGGTTAGTGACATCCTGGCGTGGATTCGCCCAGACACAACCGCATTCCCGGCTGGGTGGACGGCGGGCGAACCTACGGCGCTGCCCTGCAGCAGCGGGAGGCAGGTTGCCGAAGGGCCGCGGGGCGTGGGCGGCTTCGCAGCCGGGCGGTGACCCGGGAGGACCCCACCGAACCGGCCCGGGGAGGGAGGGCGGAGCGCCGGGCTGGG